AGTCGGGAAACTCTTCCATTGTTGTTGCGGTAAGTGGGACCGGTTACTATAACTGGTGGCGGGGGCATGGAAGTGACATTTGTTTTTTTTTAAATAGTAATGGTTAGGAAGTGTAGTGAGTTAATTGTTAACAGTTGATTTTCAGATTCGGTGAACATTTTATTCATTCAAATGAGGCGCGCAATCATAAGATCGTATATCGGTGAAGTTCATGGCGGTGGTGTAGCTTGAAACTCCGATTACCATCTTACCCGAGCACTAAAGCTTGAGGATGAATCATTGGATCATAAGTTCGGTTTGCAATGACATTTGTTTATAGGGTGAAATCAATGCATCATTAAAAAAAAAAAAAATCAGTGCGTCATTTGAGGTTGTGGAATTGTGGGTTACCGTTTAATGAGTATCATCTTTGGGGCATTTTATGAACTTGAACTTATAGGAAATGCTCTCTTTTCGGAGGAGTTTTGTAACAAATACTTTGTTTTTTTTTTTTTTTAACAATTTGTAATTATTTACAAGATTAATTGGGGAGAGAAAAGAGATTTCATGAGGTTTGAAGGTGCAACCCACCAGAAGTGAACAGTTTTAACCGGGTTCAGTGTCACTGGACTGAAACGGGCCGTTCATAACAAATACTTTGTTTGATTAAGTTATTATAAACAATTAACATATGAATTAATTAATCAACAATTAAAATAATTTGATATTTTTTTATAAAAATAAAATTCTTTAAATTTAAATCCACACAATATGTAAGTAAATTAGTTAAAAAACGAGAGAAGTTATGTTTTATTATATTGTGTAAAATTAAAAATAAACTCATAATTTATTTGGATTAAAAAAATAAAAAATTTATTATATCTAATCAAATTATTTTATTGGTTTAACAACAAAAATTAATTTCTTTGAAATAAGGCCACTCTACCCTCCCTTCCATCTTCTCCCTTTTTCCTCAATCTAAAGAGGTCATAAAACTAAGTTAGCTCCAAAATCTTGTAAAACACAGACTTGATTGTAAAAAATATGTTTTTCTTTTTTTGGGATGATTAGGGAACTAAGTTACAATTAACATTCATTTCATCAAAAAAATAAATAAATAAATTTAGAAATTATTCTTTAAATTAATACTACTACTTTTTTTATATATATTTTAACAAAAAAAAGTACCTTAATAATATTTTAACAAAAAAATTACTTTACAATTTAAATTATAGATGATATATAGATAATTTTTTATATTTTTTTATATAAATTGTATATATTATTAAATAAATAAATATATTTAATATTATAAATTTTAAATAAATAAATAAAAATTAATTGTTTAAATAATTTATATAAAAAAATATAAAAAAATTATTTTAAAATCATTTTTCTTAAATTATATCAAAGTACAAAGCATAGACCCTCATCCCTGTTATCAGAGCCTTTCAATAAATAAAACCTTAAAGCAACGAACTCATTCTTTTTTAAAACGAGAGTCTAATCTAATTGATTATTTTAGAACTGCAAAAGAAAAGTGAAGTTGTAAACAGTAAAAGTTGGAAACGGAACGAAACGACGGGCGTTGAAAGCGGTTTGGTTTGTCCTTTATATATTTTTCCCTGGCAAGCAAAGTAGATGCCTGTTTCAACTCACTTGACGCAGAGGCCATGGCTCCCTCAATGAAGGTCGTTTTCGGACTGTTAACGTTTGTCACCGCCGGCATGATAATCGGTAAGCCGTCCTTTCGATCCATCCAACACCCATTTACCATAAAGATACGTTCTTCAATTTTTGTCGCGAAAGAAGAAATTTGATATCAGTTTATGCTTTTCTCCTTCATCTCTGATCCATGATTTTATGGCGGAAGTTGAAAGTTTCGATCTTTTTGAGGAATAAAAGTAGAAATTTGATGACTTGATTTTGACTTTTAATTTACTTGGAAATCCAACTGGTGGTATCGTACAGATGTTTTGTTCTCAATTATGCTGCATTTATAGGACTGACATTGGTAGAGGGTTCTTGTTTGGTTCGGATATTAATTAGTTTAATTTTCTGAGCTGATTCTTACATCACCTTTAATCTAGTTAAGAGCAATCCTTAACGAGGCTTGATTTGATTGTAACAAAGTGACATTTTGGGAAATACAGGTGCTTTGTTTCAGTTAGCATTTATTTGGAGATTGGAAGATTCATATGGTATGTTGGAAATTCGACGTCTTCCAGAGACTCTTACCATGATTTTGTTTTGCTTTTATTGATTTTTCTATGACTGTCTTAAGAATTAAGAATCATGTACCATGTAGGCAGTGCATTTCCAACAAAAAGAGTGCTTATAAGTCAGAATGATGGCTACCTTAAGCTGCCAAGAGGTAATTATGGTTCATGATGGTAGCTAGAAAATCACTATCCTCAATGTTTATTTTATTTTATCTTTTGATTGGCAAAGAAAGTTACTGCATAGCAATTCTTTAAATGGAAACATCCTTATCTTACCCTTGGACGTTTGAACTTGCACTTTATAAACACTTTTAAATGTGGAACAAAATATCTTGAGTCTATTCCTCAATTATTGTTTTTCTAACTGCATTACATATAACTGTCATAGAGGTTTTATGGGGTGTATATTTTCTTTTCTACTTTTCAGGTTTTAGTAGTTGGCAAGGTGACAGAGATGCGGAAATTTTACGTCTTGGATATGTATGTTTCCAATTACCATTTGATGCTGATGTTTTACTTTGGATTTTAACAAAAAATATGGATTGGAGTTTTTGAATGAAAATGAGATCAGAAGCTGCTTGTTGGGAAGGAAAGAGACAGAGAAACAGAGAGAAAAGGAAAGAGGAGTAAAGATAGGAATATTCTAGAATAACAATTTGAGTTGCAAAATTAAGTTGGTTTTACATTTGATTGATTGAAGACCAATTTAATGATTAACTGTGCTTACAAGGAATTCCTGGTATCATATATGGCTTTTTAATGATTATAGTAGTTTTATGCTCTCTCCTTTTTCTTTTTTTCTTTTTCTTTTTTTCACTTATTTGTTTGTAAGTGGAATACATTCATAATGATGATTCCTCTTGTATAATTTCCACTTATTTTTTTATTAAAATAAAAAGGTTAATTTCACTTGTTTATTGTGGAAATGTAGGTCAGACCTGAAGTAATTAGCTGGTCTCCTCGAATCATCATACTTCATAATTTTCTCAGTTTGCAGGTACGCAGATAGATTAAACATTATTGTTCATAATGGCTACTGGATGTGAATATAATAGAACCAAATGCACAGGGAACACACTTGCCATTAGTGTCCTTATTTTTTCCTTCTTGGCTGAAATTTCTTGCCTTTCAAAATTACACAGCAGTTTTGAATTTAGTTTTATGATTTGCAGGAATGTGATTATCTTACAGCAATTGCCCGCCCTCGGCTTCAGATTTCCACTGTGGTGGACACAAAAACAGGGAAGGTACATCTAACACTGTGTCTCTTTGCCTCATAATTTACAACTTAATCAAAATAGTTAAGTTTAGATTTACATATAGGAGAAAGTGGAATCAAGATTTAGAGGGTATAAAATTTAAATGTACTTATGTTTTTAAGTTTAGGTTACATTACAGTGATGCCTCACTTTGCTCACACTAGTTGACTTGCACCTCAGGCAATGAAAGGTGGAGTTCCTTCATGCTGCCTCTTGCCTATTGCGACATTGAATTAGCTACATGTTTTTGACAAAGATGGTATACAGTAACCTGAAGTCTTCATTTCTTAGGGCCAAGTTTCAATAGGGTTCTTCAGCCAGATTAAGTGATTGACCATGAATTCAGGCACTTGTAGTTTATGCTGAAGAGAAGCAATCAAACTTTGCTCAATTTTGCAATGTTGCCCTTCTTTATCTGTTGGGTGTAATTAAGGCCTTGAACTTTTCAATTATGAAAGTTATTATGTTTTTAGTTTTATATGGTTGCAATATGATATAGGTGATAGAGGCATGCAATGAGTGTATCTTTTTCTGTCTTGGTTTCTTCATTTGTTTCTTTTGCTAATGGTCCCTTATTTCTAAGAAAAAAATATAAATGATTGATCTCATGGTGTACCTCTTTTTAGGGGATTAAGAGTGATGTGAGAACAAGCTCAGGCATGTTTTTGAACCCTTCAGAGAGAAAGTATCCAATGGTACAGGTCAGTTTTTGTAAAATGCTTATTTTCTGTGTCTGATGTAGGAAGTTTTTGTTGGCCAAAATGAAAATGAATAACATTAAGTCTTTATGTTTGTACACTGATGGAGGATCAATGATTTTATTTCATTTTGATATAATGGAACCATTCATCCTTTGACCTTATTGAAATGTTCTGATAGTTTTATTATCTTGTTCAAGACTATCCTTTAGCTCTCATGTTTCTGCCAGTTTTAGTCCTTCTATCAATATCTGATAAATGTGTGTTCATGTGTACTCATGCTGTCAAGTACAATGGACTGTTGAGTGTTGACAACTCAAAATGTTTATTTATTTATTTGGCCTTCACAACCCAATGTGTCTATGATAATGCTTATTATGCCATGAAGGGGAAAAGAAAAAAAAAAAAACCCCCACAAATAGTTTATTAATAATCCTTTTTCCAATCCTTTATCTTTATCTTACCTCGCAAGTAATATGTAGTAATCATTGTATAACTTAATTAAATCTATTTATTAGATATTGAAAATTAATTATTCACTTAGTTTGGGTATTTTTGGTTCCTTTGCTTTTGAACTGGAACTGGAACTGAAACTTTGAAAACTTCAGTGGCAAACATCAACTCAATTCCAATTTTTCTGAACAACCAAACTGAAGAATTTGGTAATTATCTGAAATTTGCTCACCTCCACTTCCTAAGTCTTTTTTCCTTTTATGAGTCTTTCTGCCTCAACTTTCTCCTCAGTTGAACTATAAGATTCATTCTTATTTCTTACTCCATTAGATCACTTCCATAGTTTTTTTGTGCTTGGTTTGTATCTTTTTTTCCCATCAACTAATAAATGTCTTTCTATGCAATCCATATATTTATCCAATACCCTAATAAAATGTTGAACTCATTCTTTTTAATTAATTTTTTCCATTACATTTGCCCCTGTTCCTCAGGCAATTGAAAAGCGGATTTCAGTCTTTTCCCAAGTGCCTGTAGAAAATGGGGAGCTGATACAAGTTTTAAGGTGGGGCTCTGACTTAATTATCTCTTCAGCAAAATGTTGGGAATGAAAAAAATCTCTTTAAATAATTGTTTACAAAGATGAAGACTGATATGCTTTATTATCAAGGCTAACATCTAACGCAGCACAGGTATGAACAGCATCAGTTTTACAAGCCTCACCATGATTACTTTTCTGACACTGTAAGTTATTTCTCATTCTCAAAGTTGGTATGGTCATAAAATCCACCATGATGTCTTCCATTTCTCATTCTCAATTTTGCTTTTAATTCCTCAGTTTTATTCTTGTGTCATGGAAGAGTTTACAGATTGATTTTTTTCTCCTTTGACAGTTCAACCTGAAACGTGGTGGTCAGCGAATAGCAACAATGCTTATGTATTTAAGTGATGGTGTTGAAGGGGGAGAAACGTATTTTCCTATGGTATTTATTTTATGATACTTCTGCTTTAGTATATGAGACAAATGGTAATCTTCTGCTGCATATGGGGGGATGGATACTTTAAATGGAAAAATACAGGCATTTTGCTCAAGAAATTTCCCTAAGTTTATTATATTGGGGTTATTTTACTATTTTGGTGTAATTTTAGGATTTACGAGTCCCTGAATTAGTTACTTATTTTTTAGGTTGCTATCTATAGCTTTTCTATTTCTGCTATGATTATCATTGGGGTTAATTATGTCTTTTTGAATATCCTCCATCATACTAATCAAGTCATAAAATTGCATCAAATTTACAAAAAATGTTCCAATGAAAATGACGTCTTCTCATTCTTTCTTAAACTGCATCATTTATGTCTTTATTAATTCGTACTTCTGGAAAGTTTCATGCTTATCCTTTTGCTTTATGAAACTTAGGCTGGTTCAGGTGAATGTAGCTGCGGTGGCAAGACCATGAAAGGGATGTGTGTAAAACCAATCAAAGGAGATGCAGTGCTTTTTTGGAGCATGGTTTGTTTCCTTTTCTCTGCTGACATATTGTTTATCTAAGGGATGGCGACAGGTCAGGGAGCCAATTACCGTCCCCATCCTCACAAACAAAGAATTTATCCACATGTCCTCATCATGGGGCCATGGGATATCTTTTTCACAAAATATTCCATAATCTTGCAACTAATATTGATAAAACTTTTGTGTCTTGCTTTATAAGGTAATTGTGCAGAGACTGAAGAAGAACCTTACGAGATCTGTCTGACCTGATATTGTTTGTAATTTGTCAGGGACTAGATGGACAGTCAGATCCAAATAGCATACACGGAGGGTGTGAGGTATTGTCTGGGGAGAAGTGGTCAGCAACAAAGTGGATGAGGCAGAGACCTACTACCTGATTTTAATTTTTGCCTGTTTCGTTCATGCAGTCTAAAACGCCTTCAAATTCCACGAAAGTACTGTAGTGTAGTTGCATGTATTCCAGATTCGAAATATCAATTACAAATCATCTTATACAGAGATAGTGATGTATAGGTTGACGGTAAGCATATTTTGAACATTTGATCTAGTAACAATGTTGTTCTTGCTTACCAGGCCTTCTCCGAGCTTCGAAGGCTATAGACATTGCTCTAGTATGGACTTCCTGTAAACTTTCATCCAATTCCATTTTTAACATTGATTCCTTTAAGTTCAACTATTGTTGGCTAGGTTTACAGGGTGCATGCAGGACTCATTAATTTATTTCCTCAACTGGGTCTTATTCAACTCTGACTGAACCAGCAAAAATGGCTGCGGAAGTGTCTCTGTTTTTGATAAAAACTAATAATAATAAGAACTTTTTTAGAAAGAAAACAAGTGGACACAAGTAGGATATTTTGTTTTTGGATTTTGGGTTGTATGACAACTCTCTTCCATTCACCCATTTGTATATTTAGGATTAAAAAAAAAAAAAGAAGCAATTCCCCACATCTAATACATGTTATTTAATTTTTTATTAACTTTTTATGTCTAAAAATTACATTAAATTTTAATTAATTTAAAGATAAATTAGGTTGATTCATAAAAATGAAAAATTTTCAATATTTATTTTTTTATTTATAAAATTTAAACTTGATATTTTATTTAAATAGAATCAAACTCATTTTATTCAAACCAATAGGTGATGGATTTTATTTAACTGTTAATAAATGACAAATTTTTTAATATTTGTGACTCTTTTACTAACGGTTAAAAATAAGACAGTAAATAGATTATGACATTTTCATTTAGGTTTTTTTTTTTAATTATACAATAAAAGATAATCATCTTTAATCTCTTATTTTATTTGACCGCATATCATGCGACTTAAATTTAAATTTTTTATTTTTAACCAAAAAAAAATTATTAAATTATTTAAATAATTGACTTCTCATTTAGTATTAAAAATCCCTTACTTTTTATAGTTCTATCGACGGGTGGAAGGTAACATGTTTTGTTACTTGTTTTTTAAGGTGAGAATATCGTTAAATCGCGTCAAGCTGCACTAATTAGGTATGCTTTTT